CTGATGATCCGATTAGGAGAGTAGATATTTTAGATTCGACTTGCGTTAAGAAAGGCAAAGGTAGACCTAGGAAGACTTGGGCTTATTGTATAAAAAATGATCTTAATTTACCAGAACTAAATGAAAATATGACACTAAATAGGATGCAATGGACAAAAATGATTCATGTAGCCGACCCCACGTAGTGGGATTAAGGCTTTGTTGTTGTATTTAATATCTTAGCTAGAAATGTTAAAATCCTTTTGTCCATGAAACTTTAGCAACTTTTTCATGTGGTATCTACGATCATGGGTGGCATCTTATTTAAGTTGGAATTTCATAGAAAATTTTGGTATTGTTTGTACATAGCCCACTGTAAAGGGGGTGATAGGGATGCTATTGATGTCTTCTGTTGATCCTAAAAAAGGTGGACATGCATGGAGTGCAGAGCAGTTAGGCTTGTTGTGTTCTCTACACATGCTAAAAACTACGCTAGCTGGATCTTCCGCCCTAGGCTTTACGGGGATAGAAAACACACCGTTGTAAATTGATAGATGGGTAATTGGGACATGGTGGCCCACCTTATAAACTGAGAAGGTCAAGCACAAGTTGCACTTTCTGCATAGATTCTACGGTTGAATGCTCACCCTCTTATGAATATAAGGCGAGCAATGTTGTGCGATGAAGAGGGAGAAGAGATAAGGAGGGAGTAGAGTTTGACTTGAGGATAGCTCCCTTATACCTTGAGAAACATGTATCGTGACACCAAAACAGCAAGGATTTGTTGCCTTTTCCTAGTCCTTCTATGGTTTATGAAGGATAAATTATGCTCTTTGAGTCCCACAGGCAATACATGGCTAATCTCCCCTTGGGAGAGTGGACGTACTTGGGTAGAGAACTTAGGAATGAGAAAGGCCAGCATAAAAAATCATTTCTAACATCTAGTTTGTTTCAGGGCATGGATCATCATTTGGATGCTGGATTAAGCTTCTTTTTGCTTGCTTGTATTGAATTATTTGATTTATATTTGTTTATTTGAGTTCAACATAATTTATTTTGAGCCCATGTTAACCTTTTTGCCTTACTGTACCTAGCTTTTGCATGTTTTGACCTAATATTACCCCAATTTACTTATTTTAATTATGTTGATTTGACCTAGATTAAGTTTGATTATGGTTGAATTGGTACAGGTTCTGGCCCAATGCATATATGGGCGTTACTTGTGGCATGAATAAGCACTCATGGTCACTTCTGCATAGAAATAATCATTGGTCAACAAAAACTCTCAACACATGATTTGCTATTATCATTCATGGGTGGATGCTTTTCTTTTTTAGTTGGGTGTTGTTGGTCGTCTAAATATTGACATAGTGGTTATTAGACCTAACAAGTGTGCTCGCTTTTGGCGATCTCTTGAATATAGATGGGGTGACAACTAAGATAATGGGCATGAATGAGAAGAAAGGTTTATGAACAATTATTGTTCCTGATTTAATTTTCTCTTTCATAAGAAGATAATATTCTAGGGCTTGTGCACTTGAAATAAAAAAAAAAGGTGCTCAAATGATCTGGATGTTTTAAAATTTTCTCATTGTATTGCTACCTCTTAGCCAAGTCATATCGACAACAATAATAACAACAAACCTTTATCCCACTAAGTGGGGTTGACTGAATCATTTTTCTCCATTGCGTTCTATTGAGTGTCATATTTTCATTTAATTGTAATAACTTAAGATTTTTTTTTTATACAATATGCCCAAGTTTTCTTAGGTCTACCTTATAAGTTAAATCTAAAACATCTACTCTCCTAACAGGATCATCAGATTGTTGACGTTTAATGAGACAAAACCATCTAAGATGATTCTCTCTAATCTTGTGTGTCACTGGAACTACACTAAGCCTATCATGGATATATTCATTTCACATTTTGTCTCTAAGTGTCAAGCCACTCATCCACCTAAGCATTCTCATCTGAACAACACTTAACAACTTTGCTTTGAGCTTCTCTTTTAAAGGCCAAAATTTTGCGCCATAGAGCATTGCAGTTGCAGGTCTCACCATTGTCTTTATAAAATTTTCCTTTCAATCTAAGTAGTACTTTTCAATCATTCGTCCACTTCAACTTACTAACTGGAATTCTACTAATAACATCCTCATCTATATCACCATCACGTTGAACAATATACCAGAAATCTGAAATGTTCACACCTTTTAATGATTTGATCATTTATAGTTACAATACTGCCACTAGAGCTATCACTATTAAAAGTACATTCCATGTATTCGGTTTTAGTTCTACTTAAATGAAAGCTTTTAGACTCCAATGTTGATCTCTTTAATTGAAGTTTTTCCTGAACTATTTTTCTAGTCTTATCCTCAAGAAGGATATCATCAGCGAAAAACATACACTAAGGTACATCTATCTGTAAATGTCCAATAAGAGTATCCATAACTGAATAAAAAAGATATGGGTTTTAAGCCGATCCCTGATGTAATTCAATTGAAATAAAAAAATACTTGATCAATCCTCTTTTTGTTTATACACAAGTAACTACTCTAGTATACATATCTTTAATGACTTGAATATAAGTCATTATCAACTTTTTTCTTCTCTAAAACTCTCCAAAGGACTTCTCTTGGAATCTTATCGTAAGTTTTTCTAAATCAATACAAATCATTTGTAGAGATCCTCTTTAATCTCTCTGTACTTCTCCATCAAATCTCTTAACAAATTTATAGCTTCATTAGTAGACCTGCCCGACATAAATCCAAATTGATTATGAGAAACCTTTTTATCACGTCTTAACCTATGTTCAATTACCGTCTCCCATAATTTTAAAGTATGCCACATCCACTTAATTTCTTTATAATTTGCCTACTCTTGCACATCTTATTTATTCTTACAAATTTGGACTGAAATACTTCTTTTTAGTTTATAGAATAACATTAAAGAGTTTAGTAAACCAAGAAACTTCCAAATTTCCTAAATATTTTCACATTTCAATTGGGATATCATCAGATCCTACTGATTTTCACCCTTGGTTTTCTTTAAAGCCCTCTAAATTTCTTTTTTAATAATGCGACAATAAAAATATAACATTTTATTATTATTAACGATATTAAGATAAATAAAGTCGATCGTATTTTTAGAAATTTCATTAAAAATTTTATTAAAACATCTCACCCACCTATGTTGAAATGAAAAATATTTTTTGATTTTCATCTTTAATATACTTTACTTGAATTAAATTTTTACTTTTCTTTTGTCTTTGTTTGTCTATTTTTTTAAATATATTTTTTACCTCTTTAGTATCTAATCATATGTAAAAAATATTAAAAGCAGAATTTTAAGCGTCACAAATTATTTTCTTAGACTCTCTATGACAACCTTATATTTTTCCCAATTCTTTAAGCTTTACATTTAAACCAATTTTTATAACACAACTTAAATTTTATCTTTTTTTTTGCATATGATTATTCTTTTACAAACTAATTTTATTTATACAAATTTTTTTCTTTTGATTCTCCAAGTATATTTTTTATTACCTATTTGATAATGTTTGTTAATTTATCCCATATAAAATTAATTTTTTCATGAGCATCCCAAATCTTGAAGTCTTGAAGCTTACTCATAAAAATAATTTTATTTATCTTTTAGGTGCTCCCATCTAATTCTATAGGAATGATTTCTCGTTATCTTACAACTTCTAATCTTAAAATAACTAATAATTGGTGTTGAGTACTTAAATTTACATTTTGAATGATCTTAGAAAATTTACACTCGGAGGATTTTTTGCTCATTAGAAAATAATCAATTTGTGCTTTTTTAGATCCATTTTTATAAGTAATAATATGCTCATATCTTTTCTTAAACAAAATCTTAATAATAACAAAATCATACGCTAAAGCAAAATCTAATATGGTTCTATCTTCTTCATTAATCACTCTAAAACCGTAGCAACCATGAATATTTTTAAAATCTTGTGCCATTCTGCCAACATGTCTATTTGAATCTCCTCTAATACAAACTGTTTCTTCAAGAGATATTATTTGTATTAATTCTTATAGGTCATTCCAGGATTTTTCTTTTGAACCTATATCTAAGTCTACTTGAGGAGCATAAGCACTTGTAATATTAAATCTTAATATCAACCATAATCTTTAGGGCTATAATTCTATCTCCAATTTTTTTAATTTTTACAACATTATCTTTCAAACATTTATCTATAATTGCACTTACACCATTTTTAGTGTGACTACTGCTTGAATACTAATGTTTAAAACATAAGCTATTAATCTCTTTAACATTTTCTCCAACTCATTTAGTTTCTTGAGTACATAAGGTATTTATCTTCCTCTAAAGCGTAATATTAAATACTTCTATTAATTTATTTGTGAAAGTACTTATACTCCAATATCCTATCATAATATTAGTTTCATGGACTAACTTCTTTACCCGCATCCGTTCGGATTGTGGGAACTCTTGCTTATTTGACACTACACAGGTGCAGGTATAACGACCCTTGCACACTTTTTACTGTATTCAGGCCATACAACGCGTTACTTTCATGAGATGCCCTAGCATTTATACAAGGATTTAAAGGATTCATGTTTATGATTTTTCGATAAATTTTATGTTGGTTTTTGATTACATAACGCAATCCTCCACTTTTTATATCTGGGGCTTGGGAGCCAGCAATGGCAGTGTTAGCCAAATCATCTCATACAGGGAAAAGCTAAGCTCCTTTTATTTGGAATGGTCAATGTTAGATCTCATGGGATCTATCTACTAGGCTAGTAGGCAAATGAATGAAAATATATTAATACAACATAAATAAGTCTCTTAAAATTTATATACTTTACATATCCATATCGATATTATAAGATGATGCTATATGGTTACAATTTAACGAAGATTATTTTTTACCCTCTCCGTGTATTTCCTGTTATCTTTTGTATGTAAGGCATTTTGGACTGCTTTCTGCTAGCTTGATTTGATAATTAGGTATGATTGTGTACAGAATTTCTACGAGGATCTATTTGAAGAGCTGAGTAAATATGGTGTACTTGAGAGCCTGAATGTATGTGACAATCTCGCTGATCATATGGTAATAAGCGTATCAAATGACTCTTTCTTATCATATGTTTGCAAACATTTTGTTCGGTATTTCATTCTTCTAGCTTAATTTGCAGGTAGGTAATGTTTATGTGCAGTTTAGAGAGGAAGAGCACGCTGCTAATGCAGTTCGTAATCTGACTGGCAGGTTTTATGCAGGTCATTCTCATTTTCCTCAACTGTTTTTTTCCTTTTATAGCATGGAGGCATTGCTGTGGTCCATCTCTTTATTTACATTCTTAGATTAAAATATGCAGCCTACGATGTGTGTGTGTGTGTATTTTTCTGACCGAGTGCCTTGTTGCAGGTCGTCCAATTATTGTTGATTTCTCTCCAGTTACTGATTTCCGTGAGGCTACCTGTAGGCAGTACGAAGAGAACACTTGTAACAGGGGTGGTTACTGCAACTTCATGCATTTGAAGAAGATTAGCAGGTATATGCATGCAAGCTTATTGTATATGCAAGCCTATTGTATTTTCTCCTCTAGCTTAGATGGATGATCATGTCAGGGAATTAAGGCGACAGTTGTTTGGGAGATCTCATCGGAGGCATAGCAGAAGTCGTAGCAGGAGTCATAGTCCTCATAGACACCGGAGCTATGAAGATCGCAGAAGGCACCCATATGATGATAGGGATCGGCAACATGATGATCGAGGGAGGCGACCTAGGAGCAGAAGCCCTGCTCATAGGAGAGGACGCAGTAGGAGCCCGGGGGGGAGAAAGAATAGGAGCCCGGTTAGGGAAGGAAGTGCTGAAAGGAGGGCAAAAATTGAGCAATGGAACAGGGAAAGGGAGCAGGCAGAACAGGCTAACAAGGCCAACAATGCCTACATCCATGGCAGCAATGGATCCCGTCATAATGGTGGGAACAATAATGGGCAGCCATATGAAAATCATGATGATTATTACTGAAGCATGTGTTTTTCAGGTTTGGCCATCTTTCCTTTTGGGGTGTTTTATTTTGTTGGGGGTGGTGGGGGTTTTGTTTGCAAAGCCGGCTATCAAAATAAAGATGGCTTACTACAGTCCATTTTCCACTGTGCAGGTGGTGTGCAGGTGGTGTGTACTGTGCTGTGGATTTTAATGTCCTTTTGTTTTGTTTACAACTTTCTTTCCATTGTCAGTTACATTTTCTAGAATTTTAATGCATGGCCTTTCTTTTCTTCCTTCTTTTAGAAATATAGATAATTAGCCAAAGATTTTGACCTTTTCAATTTTCTTTTTTTAAAATGTTTTAATCTTTTTTCTTTCAAACATATTTTCTTTGAATTGCATGATATATTTCTTTCCCAACACTAGGGGAAAACAATTTCCTGAAGGTTCTAAGGTCTTATTTATATTCAGCTTGAGTGACGTACAGTCTATTACTTTCAGGTTCTGCATATATTGGAGGATGATCTTATTGTATTAAATGGATGTACGCATTAGCTTTTTGTGAGAAAAGATTATGCCTAACAAAAACATTTGCATGATTGTCCGTGTCATATTAAACATAATAAACTAATGTGGGCTCTGAAAATTTGACCACCTCCACCTTCCTCGAAATATAAAGAAAAAATGAAAATGAGGACGCGGGAGTTTACTAAGAGGTTTCGGGTCAAATTTTTCATAAGACAGATGAGATAGTAGATAAGACACTGCCCAGAGATTTCTCTCTCATTTTGTGAGGACATTAAGATATGGCGTTTGATCATCCATAGGCGCAAGCCCGTATGACTAATTACCCCTTTTGATGATGAGAGTGTACTTTGATTAAGCTAGTCATTAGCCACTAAGTATTCAAACTTAGTATACGATAGGAACAAATTTGAAACTTTAAAATGATGAAATTATCATTGTTTGCTTAAAAGCGGATGTTGGGGAAGTTATGAAGAACACTATTAAGATCTTATGGTTCCATCATCCTGGGCTGTAATTGTCCTCAGTCTACTTAGTCAGTGGAGGCAATCGATTCAACCTGACAAAAAGATCTTTGTCAGCAACCATATGTTGCTAAGTCCAAGGGAACCTTGTAGACCTTGAATGAATATTTGTCTAATGAGACTAATCTAGGTCAACTTTTGCTTATAAAGGGTTTTATGTTATATCAAGTATACCCTATGATTCATAACTTAAAAGGGAAAACTATCATTGAAAAACATACGAACTACAACCGTGATCGTAATATAATTTTCATTTAGCGACAAATTATTTGGCCAAAGGACTCAGTTTGTAGCTACTTTTTTGTGGTACTATTTGACAACAAAATGATACGGTCCGATGACTCGGACCATGTCCTGACTGACACAAAATTAAATTGAGAATGAATTTAACATTTTGTTTGATATGACATTGACTATATTTGAGTTTGAGTCAACATTAGATATGTCCAACCAGCAAACTATTGCTGAGGGTGGGTGAATTTTACTTTAAAATTTTAAGTGATTAATTTCACTTAGATAACTTGAATTTTATAATTAAAATATTAATTATATAAATGAACCTTTTCGGTATAGTTGTGTAATAAATATGCTCATCATTGAGGAATTTAATTATTTGATTTGATTAGTCGATCCTGCTTTTATAAGATCAAATGTATAATATATATCATTTGAGTTTTGAAAAAAACTTTGAGATTTGATTTTGAAAATATACTCCTCCAGTTAATATTACTATTAAAATATCACTATTAACACGACTATCATTGAGAATAATTATTCCTTAAATTTCAATTAAAGTACTAGTCACGTTGAATCCAATTCTTGTGAGGATGATCATACTACTATATTGGAGCTTTTGTTAACTTCAGTCTCGATATTGAAGAGGTTAGATTGGGGGCTCACTCTTGTCAACTATGGTCTTTGTAGGGAGAAGGATTGGACTTTGGCGAAGTTGGACTTATTGCCTGACCTTATAAGTAGGGCGACCTTCTCAAAAGTATGCATAGTTAACATTTGTCAAATTGATATTTAAAAATGAGATTTTTGGAAAGGTTAAAAATGCATGCATGCTTAATGCAAATTTAATTTTAGCGTCAACATTACAATTGACTTGCGTAACATTCTCAGACGCTTTAGTTTAAGAATTAAAAAGATTGATTGGGCACATGCGATCATTTTGAACTTTTTTTATGTCACGCACAACGTTCTTGGACTTTATGATTGAGCGTTGAACACGTTGGTTAGAGCACATACTGGTGTTTTATGCTTGTTTACTTGGGATGATTTTTAAGAGACTTTATTATTTTTTAAAAGTGTGTTATTGTTAAGTTTTGTGCAAATATTTTTCTTTTAAGCTTTCAGTTTCATCTTTTGTTCGTTCGTGTAATTGGGGTTGTTGATCCGGTTGTGAGAGTATGTTACATTTTGCCCAAAATCTTCTAGTGAAATTCCTTTTGCCTGCTTGTGCAGTTGGACTGTGGATCCGATGGTGTTTAAGTATCTTATGGTCTTATTCTGTGTTTATGATAATATATTATTTTTGTATTTAGCCTTTATTTTAATAATCAAATAACCACATATTTTAATCGAGCTTGTTGACGAGTCATCGAGTCCATGTATGTCTTATGCATATTTTATTTATACTCAATTTTGTTCTTTTTCTAGATGATTTATATAATAATTTCAATCCTCCATCTATAGTTCAAATAAATTATCATTTGTGATCTGATTTTGCGTAATTGAGGTTGTGGATTTGAGTTTATGTAATCCTCAATTTATAGTTCATGCTTTTATTTTTGTCTGAGTTCAAATAAATTATCCTCTAGGAATGGCATTCAGACAATAATCTGGCAGCATTTAGACAGCCTCGCCGCATCATCTCTGCTTGGGAGGGCTGTATCGTGAAGCTGAGACCTTCCTACGATGCTTGAAAAAATATGCATAGCAGACACTGTGGCCTAAGGATCTTCAAAACACACCATGCTTAAAAAAGCTTTTATGGGGCTTCGTGTACCTGCCTAAAAATAATAACTCACAGAGGGAGCCATTTCCGCCGCATCAATATGACCCGTTTGGTCTTTAACCCACCACACTTATAAAAGCATTTATGAGGCTTGAATCACCTACAAAGAAAGATCATAATATTAACAGGTTTTTCCTTTTCGGACCAGGACAACGTGCCGAGCACTTTTTTTTTTTTTTTTCTTGAGCCAAGATTCCCCTCATTTTCTTTGCACTGGTTTGAGCTTTCTAGATCTTTCAAATACCAAACCAATTGCCACATGTCAGTCATCAAGAGTATATCCACCAACTCAAATAGCTTCAATTTTTATTTTCAATGGTTTCATGTTGCTCAGCTTTTCATACCTGTTATCTGGATCATCGTCAAGCTCTTTATTAATGTCTAACTCTGCAAAATCCTTAGCTGCTGTTTGAATGTGTGCTTGTGCTCCTATGAAGGTCTTTTAAATTTCAATTTCTTGCCTCGAACATCTTGGCACTGAGCTTTTCTGCCTCCTTGTATTGTTTCAGCTTCAGCTTGCTGGCTGCATTGTTAAGATTGCAGGGTAATTTTCAATGCCTTGGACTGCTTCTTCTCCTCTTCACTGAATGAGCTATCGTACTTTAGCCCCCTTCTCTTATCTCTTTTAGTCTTTAGCATATTTTCCTACTTTAAATAATGAATTTCCTTCTTCCTTCTTCCTTCTTTCTTTTTGGCAGCGGCTTCAATCGTCTCTGAGCTATTGATATCCCGTGGCTCTGTCTTTTTGACGAAGGACACAAGCTTCTCTTCATAAATGACACTTTGCTAGTGGAGTTTGAGCGAGGTTGAGAAACCAAAGAATTGAATGAGGGAGCTTGTGGCTGGTCTATTTGAAGGAGACAAAGATGTGGAGCAAAGGGGAGGAGAATCGAGAGTGAGGTGAGGCAAGGGTTGCTGATTCGTGCAATAATGAAGCCGAAGCTGTAGTGTGATGTCTTGTTGGCGGCAGTGATGAGTATTTGGCTAGTGGTTCGTGTGAGAGGAGACGGGTTGTGACTGAGTAAGAGAAGATGGGATTGATGAGGAGCGGGGGTGAATGTGGGTAGAGTAGAGAGATTTGTGGCAGATTAAGTGTGAGGAAGTAATGAAAAATCGAGAGACAGGGGCTTCTGGGTGAGGCTCGCTGGTGTTAGGGCTGCTTATTGGAGGGAGACTTCACCGGCTGGAGAAATGGAAGCTCGGGTTAGTTGGAGGTCTGTGGGCCTGCATGCAGGGTTGCCAACGGCGGAGAGAGAGACCGAGCCTTCGATTTCCTTGCGTGTGAAGTGAAGGAAAGAGAGGGGCTGGGTTATGTGGAAGAAAAAAATAAGGTAGATCTATTCCTCAAATTTGTTTTAGATTTTTGACTTGGGAACAATTGGGGCTTCAAATCATTAAGCCCAAATATATGTTTTTATTTAATACCACCGTTAGATATATTATTTCAAATTCATTTTAGATTTTTGAATTGATTGCAGGTAGAAATACTCACTTTCAGGACTAGAACTTATCGAATGATCAATTGATCGAGCAATTGTTGTTGTGCTCTTAGTTTAATGTTCTCTTTTCTCAGATTTCTCTTGATGTGCAAGTTGAAATGCACATGTAGATACTTTAGCAAACATCACAGTGGCCTTTGCTTCAACAATGAGAACATCTAAATCATCGAATTGGACAGTGACCATGCATAGTGGGGTTCTTTAAGAGAGTATTCTTGTCTTTAGAGAGCAAGATAACTCCTTATAGTGTCAAACACTATAGTAAATACTAGCAAAAATAATTCTTCAAAATCTCAATCTTAACGTATTTCTTTTCATTGACACTTCTGAAGTTAAACTACCATATCGTTCAACTTATCAACACAAAATTTTGCCACAAGTGGATGTGATCTTCAAACAGGCATGCCTCTTTTCTGAGACCATTTGGTGATAGATCTTTGATTTGAAAATCAAGTATATTCACCAATGCTCAGTTGACAATGTTTGTCTTTCTGTTAGGACTTTGTGATAGCAAACATCTGAATTGAGATTTAAGTGTCATGCACCGATGCACACCATACAAAATTTATTTTGTTATTGGAACCTTTCGACGGTAGATACTTAGATTGATTAAGAGTCATGCTCATTCACCAGATAGAGATTATTTATCTATTGGACCTTTTGATAATAGATTTGTAATAACCGATTTAATAAGTATATAAATAATTAAATCTTGAAAATTATTTGATGGATGTGTCTGTTCGAACACCGTCTCGACATTTCCTTATTAAGAGAAATGTTTCTTTTGAGAATGAACATAGAGACAGGAGCATGATAGGAGTAGTGAGGGAGAGATAGACAATTGGAGAAGCCAAAGAAATAAAGAGACGAAGTTGTGAGGAAGAAGCTTGAGCCCTAATTGAAGAAGAAGAAGAAGAGCAAGAAGAAAAAGGAAGTAAGGGAGAACCAAATCGAACAACTAGGAAGAAAGGGAAGATTGTGCGCTGCTCTGTTAGGTTGCGTTGAGATCACAGTGGAAGAGGAAGAAGAGGCGCAGTGCTCGCTGTTAGATGAAGAAGAAGACCCCAAAACGAGTTCTGCGTGCGTTAGGGCTGTTGAATCGTGCAAAGGAGAAGATGCATAAGATGGCATTTGCGGTGCTTGCTTGTGGGAAGGAGAAGAGGAAGGGATGAGGTTTTTTAACTCCTCGTTGGATCAATATCGTGCCCTTACCGTGCGAAGGTAAGGAGGAAGTCAGATGTTTCGTGCGTGAAGGAGGAGAACCGATCGAGTAAATAGGCGAGATAGGAAGCCTCTGTCGAGCCAGTTGTCACGCATAGAGGAGCAGGAGGAAGAAGGTGCTCGTGCGTGATTAGGGCATTCGACCAAGACATAAGTTGAATTAATACTCTTTTAATTAAATTATTTAATAAAAATTAGACATAAGATATTGTGCAAGTAGAAGGAGGAGACCACTAGTCATGTTTTTCTTCTTGCAGATTCTATCATGGGCATTATTTTGCCATTGCTTGTCCAGCCTCTGGTGTTAGGGGCATTGTGTATTGCGGTTTATATTGGCAGGCGCACTTAGTGGCTACAATGCCTTTAATCAGGAGCACTTAGTGTCTACAATGCCTTTTATTATGTTCTTCTTCCTTTGCATGGCATGGAACTCCTCAAAGCGTAACAACAATAACCTACATTCTAAGAAATATGCCTCAAAGGTGGCCCTTTATGGTAAGATGAAAACTGGCTTCTTCAAAGGTCTACAATACTCACCTAACTCTCAGCAAAGATGGAAGATGTAATTGGCGGTGTGGAGGAGACCAAGAAGCCCCTGGACTAAAGCAAACACTGATGGTAGCTGGAGTAGGGAAGGAGCTGCAGCTGGTAGAGTGTTTAGAGATTGTAATGGTAAATGCCTTTTTTTTAGTTCTTTGTAATGCTGCTAATTTTCTGGACCTTGAAGCTTGGGCAGTATTGCTAGCTATTAAACTGGCTGTTAGGATGAATTGGAGTTTCCTAATTTGTGTGTTGGATTCTCTCTTATTGGTTGACATACTTATGGGTAAAAGTGACACCCCTTGGTACCCTTATTGACAGAATTTTTTGTGGCCTCCAATGTGTCAATGTGGTGTAGACTCATAACTATAGAGAAGGCAATGGTGGTGCTGATTGGCTGGCCAAAGAAGGCGCTATCACTAGAAGAGTTGCAATTGGGAAAATACCTCCTCCTTTGTTTTTACTTTTGCATGGGGATAACTTAGGTTCACTTTATTTCAGGGGTTAGCCCTTGGCATTTTTTTGCAACTTTTTATATATTTTTTGGAATGGAGTGGCATTATAGTTACACACACACACACACACACACACACACACACACACACACACACACACACACACACACACACACACACACACACACACACACACACACACACACTCTATATAAGTTTTTATTTAAGTGTAAGATTTAAGTGCTTTTAATATCAGAATCGAAGATATTAAAGCCTTGAATTTATAGGTGTAAGGTGGCACGAAGTTCCTATATGAGGAAGAGGAAGAATTACGATCGTGAAGTAGAGAGCTGAAGCCTATTGAAACTCTAATATGTGAGTTAAGGTAAATTTTTATATTAGAAATTGTGCATTAGAATTTAATATACATTAAATTGATATATATAGTTAATATATTATATGAAATTAGTTTATTTGAGGTCAATGAGGCTAGCAAGAATATTTTTTTGTGCAAGGGAGGAGATCGATCTGAAATCTTATTAGATAAATGTTAAAGCTTATATTATTATTAAAATTAATGATATAATTAATTAATTTAATGTTTAAAAATTTTTCAAGAAGGAAGTATGGAAGGAGGCTATTTAGATAAGGACTATCAGCAAAACATTCCCCATCCAAATTTTTTTCATTAAGTACTAAATTTGAAAGATGATTAATAGCAGCGGGAAAACTTGAAATGACAATATCTCAGTGATTCGATAAAAAATGTGTAGTAGTTTAGTAATCCCAATCTTCATCAAATGACAACCAAGCATAATTATGATCCTGCACAACATGTATAGGAAAATAGATTTATAATAAAATTTAGGCTCAAGCATTTTGTATGTAGATTTCCAACGTGTTGGAACATCAATGCATGATGCATTTGTTGTGGATAATCCAATTTGCCCTGTGTTCTCTCCATATTTATGTAATTGATCAGTGGATCATTTTATAAAGAATATGGACTCTTTGATATTCTCAATTGTCTTACCAATTTCTTTTGTAACTATCCTGTACCATTAAGTTTAGAATATGAGCAGCACAACAAACATGAAAGAAATCAACAATGGTAAGAAAATCAGACCTTCTAATAAGCAATCTTTTGAGATTTCTAGCAGCAATATTATTCAATGATGCATTATCCAAAGTGATTGTACTTATTTTATTTTGCAAACTGCATTGTAACAAACTTTTTAAAAATAGCTTCAGAAATCACAACTCCACTATGTGGAGGATCTAAATCATTAAAGCTAATGTGCAGCTTCCAATCAGAACTAATATAATGCACATTAAGATATATGTAACAAATCATATGTCTTAATGTCCAAAAATTACTAACCACTACTGATTCTAAATTTCTTTCAAGTTTCTCTTCCCTAATACCATACTTTCATACATTTTTCCTTGATAGCAAATAGGGAAATTTTACGATAATTGGGATTCATTGATTTCATTAAAATATGAAATCATAGATGTTTAACTGTCATGAATGGGTATTCGTGAAGGGCATGAACGGTTATTCGTGAACAATGATCATCTTTGCCACAATATTTTTTATACGGCTATAATCATAAGATGATGAAGCACATAAAGTAGGAAGAGCCTCGGTTTCTTGAATATCCTTTGCTATTGGATCAAAAAGATTTTGCTTCTTCTTACCAACAATTAGATTGTAGTGATTGTCCTTAAATGTCAGCTCATTTGAGATGTAGTGCCTGTTTTTTGTTTCACATAACTCCTTTTTTTATTGACTAATATTTCAGTAAATTGTTGTCATACTTCTGACAGCCTTCTTTTAGTGTTTTTTCCTCTATGGAAGCTATTTCACCTACACTTTCATTTTGGGTAGTTGCTACATCAGCAACACCAATAGGTTGACTCGAACCACTATTAGATTTGCTTTGAGATCTAGTAGTCATTGACTCTAAAAATTTCCAACATTAAGTCAATAAATAATATAAGTTTAAATACAATGTAAAAAAAGGACGCATATGTGGCATATCTTTCCAATAAAACCCTCAGAATAGTTAAAAGAAAGGAACCCAAGCATATTTAACACCTAGAAATTTAATACTTTAAAACTTCCTAGTGTGAAATATATGTATCCAAATAGAAAAATAGATGCTAAAAACTCCAATAACAAAAATCCATCAAGTAGAAAACTAGATGCCAAAAAACCAAAGTAATATATATGTATCCAAAAATCTCAAGAGAAGAAGTGCTACCGTTAAGTCTAGTATATGTAAGTGTGTTTAACATACAACTATACAAGCTAGTTGAAAATCATCATGTATGGTGTAATTATTAAAATAATGCACATGACATACGACTGTGCCATCACTATGATTATGACTTATACCATATATATCAAAATTGATATGTTTCTAACTTGAAAATATGTCAATCATGTATACAAACTAAGCCAAAAAAGCTTTATTTGAAATAAGTGATTTCGGAATCATAAATCAATAGAAGCAGTGATTTCGTGTTTTAATAAACATACAACAGCAAAAGTCCAGTCATCTCGAGTCACATAAATCAGGAATAATGGACAAACTAGAGAACAAAGGCAACATAGATATTTGAAAACTAAACTCATTCTCTATTGAGATCATCATCAATGAATTTACATATATACAACCATATTCCTATGAATCTATATGGCTAAGACCATCATTTTTTTTATTTACATTTATGGCAGCCAATTCTTTCTTATCACCCCACAAATACTATTATTTTAACTTTTAAAAGTATGGAACACATCATTTGATTGATATGTCAGGTGTTTTGTATGTAAATAAACGGGTCTATGTGTTAGATATGTAAGTATATAGGAATATAGTGGTGTGAATGTAAATCTTCCATCAAAGCCTTACACCAACACAAACTTGTACTCGAACATATGTGAGGATATGTATAAAAGGAAAAGTCCCAATTGAGCCGTCTGGAAAAACGTCATATCTAATTGATAAAAACCCATCAAATTGGAAACTAAATGCCAAAAAACTGAAGTCAAATATATGTATCTAGAAATCCAAGAATTAAGATGAAAGGCCATCATCAAGTGTAGTATTTGTAATTGTCTGCTTGAATAATCCAAATATGTTCAGCCATTCCAGTTGCTGTGATTTGTCTGCTTCATATCTATCTGGCAGTTCTATTAGACCTTAAAATAGCATTATATTCGTAAGCGATTTGCTCAGCAGATACATCAAATGCTAAGCTTTTGCAAGAGAAAAATTCCATAATTTTGATATTAATTAGCAGACACAGCAGGTACATGAGCCTGCTTAGTCGAGGATGATCATGGGACTAGCTTGAGTAAAGTAGAATTACACCAAATAGCTTGTTCAACTGAACCTATCCTAGAGTAAACTTAAGACTAGGAACATAACCAGTTAATGTTAATGATCCGCAAGGTTAAGGTTTACTCAACACTCAAGTTCTCATAAAGTTTAACATTCACATGTATTATCTTAACAAGACTTTAAAAAAAATTCAAAAGTTGATCGACTCAACCTTTACCATTCATCTCAGCATTTTAGAGCCTTAATAGTTAAGAGTTAAGACCTTAATAATGCATTTGGTATGATTTTGAAATCATTTGCTATAAAAACACAAAATGCCATAAAAAAATAACTATGAATACAATAAAGCAAACAAAATTTGAGCTGAATCTTAAAAATGGGTAGCTTTTTCTAATAGTCATTTCAGCAATTACTTGATGAAGTGTTAATATCACTACAAAAATATAAATCATGACATAAATCTTGAGAATCCAACTTTTGTTCCTTATACTGACGAACTCGAAACTCAATATATTCATTGCAAATCTCTGAAAATTCATATCCGTTTGAATTAGCAAAAAAATCGAGATTTGCTCTCAAAAGACCATGGAGTAAAATAGTTGCTATGAAGCAAATAAATAAAACAAGAACTATGAAGTAAAATAGCTGTCGTAACTTCAAAAGTCAATATCAATTTGCTTTTCTCAAAGCTTAGTTCTTACGTATTTTTTGTGGTGCGATGCAGTCGAAAGCGAGAGAGAGAGAGAGACTAAATTTTAGACTAAATTTTAGGGGTTCGTTAACCTTACCTTCTGGTGCGGTGCGGGAGATGGGAGAGGAAGAGCAAGAAAGGTAAATCGAAACTAGGGCTTCGAAGCTTCGGGCGGCGTTGAACTATGCGATTGGGGTTTTGGCCTTTTCGGCCTTTTTATTATAAGTGCGATTCGCGAATGTGATTAATATCCACCGTCCATTCAATTTTGATCCGATCCTGATCCGATCTGAGGATGAATTGAGATTGGATCGAAATAAAACCAATTTTTTAACTTGGCTCATAACTCGGCTTAATTATTTCGAGTTGATTTCAATCCAAAGCTAAATTTCGATTTGATTTTCGAGCGATTTACTTCTTGGAGCCAATTTCACAGCCCTACTCGTACAATTAATTTCACAATTCCATGATGTTTTGTGTGTTTTTGAGCATGATTGATCTTGTGGATTAGATATCATGGCCAACAACAAAAGATGGGAAAATTTTACATTGATAATTAGTCCAGCCTTCAGATTTTGTGTAGCTTAGTAATGAGCACATGAAATAAATAGTGCTACAATAGGAAAGTCGATTTAAAATAAATTATATCAAGAAGTCTAAGATCATCTTTGTTTTTGCTCTTTATTTAGAGTTGGAACTTCTACTCTGCGCCATCACAGGCTGTTTATTTGGTTCAGAAAGAATTTAGTCCGGTACCTTGTATTTAGGGCTTTTATCGTGAAATTAGAAATCTTAGGCTTGGTTGTTCTTGCTTTTCACCAAAGGAAATTAAAACTTAAAATTCAAAGATCTTTGGTCAAATGAAAGTTAATTTGGCTGTTTTTTTTTTCTGGGACAGGCATCCAATAAAATTGGAATATTCAACCAAATTGTTAACCATGACGGGCATCAAATCTATTGGATTTGCTTTCTAGTTAGTGTAGGACTAGTTTTGATTGATTTTCATTTTGCACTCACCTGAAAGGCATTCAAACAGTTTGAGATCCGTAATGTTCAAATTTTGATTAAGATATGCTAATAAAAAATCGTCCAGAGTTAAAATTGCTTGTTTTCAGCCAATCAAACTACATAGGCCTTAACGCTTATTTGAACTTCCGGTATTCTTTCTATATTTTTCTGTTGATTCTTCAGCAAAAAAAAGAAATATGATACTTTGAAGCGATTGATTTAAAAGAAACTTTATTAGCCTTCACTCTTTTGAAGTTCTGACCTTTTGATGCACTTTTAATACACTTGGTTGCCTCCACCTCTTGTACAGGTGCTTTCATATCCTGTGTAGATAGCGAACTTAGTTGTCATTTTTGAAGACTCGCTTACTTTTTTTAAAGAGTTTTGCAGGTCCAGGTATCCCTGAGCCTTTGTCGGCCTAATTTTCATGCAGATTAAACGGAATTGTGCAGGTTTTTTGGGCATATGCAGAATGGCTTGAGCAGGAGCGGCAGCCAATGCAGAGCTATCATTTAAGGTTTGCTTTTTCTGATCAAATTAGTCTGTGATATGCTGCTGCCCGGGTTTAAGAACTAAGGATTTGCACCGACAGCTTGTGTTAGTTTTCCATTGAATCTGGACTAATTGTCTTATCTGAACTAGTTTAGTATTTGGGAGAGTTATATGTTTGCTTAGTTTTGTGTCTTTAAACTTTTACATCAACTATCTTTTAACTTTTAATTCAAACTGCTCATATGATGGCGTGTTTGTAGAGAACTTTGTTTCTTAATTTAATCATTACTTTTCGGGGTTGTTTTATGTTCTATTCAGGCTAGATTGTTTAGTTATTTGCAATATCCACTACTATTATGATGATTACCTTTGATATAGAAGTGAGGCGTGCCACATACTTTGCAATGCTGCTGGATTAAATTTGGTTGTTTTTTCAAAGTTTATTAACTTGGAACACCTTAGAAGAGAGCAAATTTTCTGATAACCGGACTAGTGATGTTCGAACTTTTTTGATCTTAAAAGTTGTTTCATATGAATTTGGTTGTGGCATGCTAGACATTACCTTAGGGGCAAATATATAAGGTTTGTTTGTTGATGTTTTGATTTGAAAAAAAATGTTTCGACATATTTCATTAAAATATAATTTTTTTTAAAAAAAATATTTAAAAGTTGAGTGTTTTAAATATTTTCAAGTAATTAAAATAAAATCATATAAAAAATGTATTAAATAAATGTTCTAGAAAATAAAATAAAAAATAAACAAATTTGTTCTCAAGCAAATTAGCTATTTTCATCTCCTTGAGTAGGTTATTTTCAGAAGATTATTAAGAAATTTATAAGTTTTTAAAAATATCTTAGTTGATTTTAACTATTAACTCAAAAGTGGTATTGAAATAAAAATTATGCTGAATATGTTGCGGAAGGCTAAAATATAAAAATTAAAGTTTTTAGTGTCCGATACATAAATACATAGATATTTGAGATTAGAGAGAAAGAGAGCTTTTTTTGATTGCTTAATAATTAAAGTATGAACTTGTAAAATCTGTAATTACATTTTAAATTCATCTCTCAATGGGCTGGGGGCAGAGCTGTACTCTTCTTATGCGCCCTTATCAAGCCCACTCTGAAGGATTCCACTTTGTTTAAGAAATATTTGATCTTCAATAAATAAGCCAAAGTTTTTCATCACTTGCAATGAAGCATAAAAGCTATAAATAAACAAGTGAGAGAATGATGTACTTGGTAAAACCTGAAGCATAATTGATCGAAAAGCTTACGTCAAAAACGTGTTAAATTTTATTTTATTTATGAAATTTAACATTTCTTAAATGAGCATGAAGAGATGGATAAGAAGAATGAACCAAATTATTGCTCATACCATCGGTTGCTTGATACACTATAGAAAAATACTTCGTCTTTAAAGACTGGCTCGAGAGAAACCTTAAAGAAGAAAACATAATAATCACGAAAGAATATTTAAAAGAACCTGAAAAATGTTCTATAAATATGATTTCGGCTGAGCCAATCGCCCCAATCGATCCGTATACTGGAACAGATGGATGGAGTACAACTTGGGACGAACTCAAGAGGGTCCTCAATCAAATACAGGATCCGGCAAAACAATCTTTTGCGTATACCAGTGGGATCGTAATACAAAATAGGAAGAACATGTTAAAGTTTCTAGTGATGGCTGGTAGTAGCTGGAGTCAGACTACTACCTGCACTAGAGATGCACAGGAAAGGCACGCCGGTCACTAGTGATCGGAGTGCGGGTACTCCAAGTAAGGTTGTTACAAAATCATGGTGATGAATGAGTCAGAGTGCTGGTGTAGTGTGTCAGTAGACCACCTAGGTCACGTAGATTACAATGACAAATATGTTGGAGCACGGGTAATGTTGGCTAGCAGGTCATTGTGTCAAGGTGTGTCATGTGGAATAACAGATCACGTCGACAGAGCACCGGATGACACAGATAAGATTATAGTTTGAATAAAAACACAAATTACTCGGGGGCAATTGATAAAATTGATTAATTACCTTAGGGGAAAAGGCACTGTCTTCCCCCTTAACATGACTCCTTCTTTAGCAGCTTCAGAGAGCTTCACATAGAACTCCCACACAGAAATCACTGCGACAGCAGAAAAATAACAAAACCGCTCCCACTGGCGGTGAGCAATCAAATCTTCCAAGACTCCTCCCAGACTTTTAAAACACCGCTCAGGAATTAATTTTCTTGATTGCAGTGCATCACTGTATCGATCCTGAGCTCTTGAACTAACAAATTTGTTTGAATCAAATAGAGCCTTCCCCTTACTCTCTTCATTCTTGGTGACATTTTTAAAAAATGTATAAAATTCAAAATAAATTCTACATTCAACTCTAAATTACTAAACTAAACTCCTAAAAGCTTAAACTAACAAATCCATGTCTTTTCCATAGATTTTTCTCAAATTTTCACCATCAATAGTGATTTTTGGGTAGCTTATGAATGTGATCATAATACATGGTGAAAATAAAAAATTTTTGCATAGAAGTGAAACTCTTACCTCAAGGATACCAAATCTAGCTATTTTTTCCTCGAATCCCCAAGAAATCTTCAAATATGGTGAGCCCTAGCTTAGAATTCGCAAATGGTCCGAGGAAGAAGATTAATCAAGGTGCAAAAATGGTATTTTCGGACCAATTTTTCACTTAAAACCGTTCTTGAACTGATTTTTGTGAACCGGCGCTTAAGCACAAATGGTTTGGCGCTTAGGCATATGTATCTCAGTATAGATAGCGCTTAAGCTTAGGTTTTGGCGTTTAGGCACCAGTGAACAAATTTTGATTATTTTTCAATTTAAGTGAAATTCACTCCTAGCTTAAGTCAACCAACCCTACAAGGTTTCATAACACTTTATATACTATTTCCTTCTCTCTTAACTCTCCTCTTACTCAAGATTCACCAATCTTAACTAATTTGATTCAACACATAATAACACAAAATTTCACACAATTTCACACAAAATTTCACACAAATAAAACACTTATATTGATTTACGAACAAGTACAAATGTTTTTAAATACACAAAGTCTCAATCCAAATAGTCTTGGATGAGAAATATTCTAACACAAACACTAGATAATTATCACATAATAACATACCAAACACACTTAAAATTAAATAAAGACTAAACACACAAACACTAAACCACAAAATTAATTCCATTCTCCAATTGGTGGAATGAATCCTGGCCTCTCATTAGTCTCTCCTTCAACATTTGGAATGTATATCTGAAAGAACGGACGGTGATTAATAACTCTGGTTGAATCTTCTTCAATCCACTTGTTCTTCAGATACATAGCCTTGTTCGCTTCTTCTATAAAACTGGTAGGCTAAACTGCATCTTAAGTTGCCCACCCATATGATCCAAATGCACATTAACTTCAATCATTGTTGCTTCAACTGAAGCCATGTCAGCCTCAATCTTAGTGATTTTCTCCACTATCCGTTTGATACTAACGACAAGGAAACCATTATATAACTCATGCGCACTTTGACTAATAAAATTTTTTCTCATTGCTTCCTCCTTCTTCTTTAAATCACTCTCCCAAGTTGACATTTTTCCAAAACTCTCTTATTTTCACTTAGGATTTAGGGTTAGAATTAAATTTTGATAAAAATCCTTACATAACCCTTCTATTTATAGGCTCCAATCTCTTCCTATAACTCTTAGACACATCTTAGAACTGTCTCCCACGTCAAAGCCAACCAAATCTCAGTTAAAACTTCTCAAAACCAAAATTTACACTTGTTTTTAAACTACCGCGCTTAAGCGCCAGATATTGGTGCTTAAGCGCCAATGCTCAATTTAACACAAATCAACTTAATGTTTAAATATTCATTTTAACATGTCTAAGTCATCTCTAAAGGTCTTAGAATAATCATTAACTTAATATATAATAAAAAATACTATCAAAATTTTCTAAATTACACTCAACAACATAATAATAAAAATAGACACAGATAACTATGGGTTGCCTTTCACAGAGCGCTTAGTTTAACATCGTCAGCCCGACGTAACCAGTGCTGATACTGGTTGACCCAACATCATAAAATCATTTAATTTAAATTGGTCACCTAAAAAGTAGGATTTCAACTTGTGACCATTCACTTCGAAAATTTTATTAGTTTTAGGATCTTCGATATCCACAGCTTCATAGGGATAAATTTTCATCATAACAAATGGGCCCATCCACCTATACTTAAGTTTGCTTGGAAATAATCTTAAAATTGCATTGTAAAGCAAAACTTGTTGCCCTGACTGAAAATTTTTACTAAGAATCCTCTGATTATGCCACATCTTCATCTTTTCTTTGTAAATTTTAACACTTTCATAAGATTCATTCCTTATCTCTTCATGCTCATTCAATTGCAATAAACTTTTCTCACCAGCATCTTTTAAATTGTAACTAAACTCTTTAATTGCCCAATATGCTTTATGCTCAAGTTCAACTGGTAAGTGACAATCTTTCCCATATATTAGCCAGTATGGGGACATTTCTATAGGAGTTCTGTATGCAGTCCTATAAGTCCACAAAGCATAGTCAATTTTGACTGACCAATCCATTTTGGTTGGATTCCCATATTTTTCCAATATTCTTTAAATTTCACGATTGGATAATTCAACCAAACAAATTATCTGAGGATGATAAGCAGTAGCAAATCTACAGTTTATATTATATTTCCTTAATAACTTCTCCATTATTGCATTCTTGAAATGACTTCCCCCGTCAGATATGATTATTCTCGGCATCCCAAATCTACAAAATATGTTTGTTCTTACAAAATTTTCAACACTTTGAGCATCACATCAAGGTAAAGCAACAACTTCTATCCATTTGGATACATAGTTTACTGCTAACAGTATATATATTTTTTAGTAAAAGAGTAACTCGTTGCTCCTTATGTTTTAAAACTTAAAAAGGTTACAAAATAAGGGAGGGATAGAAGATCCCCAACTAAAAAACAAAAATACTTTATAATCCTAGGGGTTCCAAAATCCATAGTACAACACAACGCAAAAAAAATAAGGAAAAACGAAAAGGTACATCAAAACCAAAAAATAGGTGACCCAAAATAGAAATCTTCGAGCAGCTCCTTTCCTGACAAGAGAAAAAGTTACACCATCTGGAAGTCATTACAATAATCGCCTTAGAAATGATGACATGCATCCATAAAAGCCTCACAAATTGTGCCGTTAGCATCAACAAAATAACAAAGATTAGTAGGAGGTCGAGCCAAAAAATCTT